GGTCGCTTTTCATGAGCACAGACTTTCTTGACATGTTTGAACATCCGGTTCGCGCAGCATTGTGCTTGAAAGACCTTCGCGTCGCTGTAATATTGCACTGTGTTTCGTGGCCAACCCGACCATTTCCCGACGCTGTGAATATTTTGTGTCGCTGGCCCCGGGCTACCCCCACATGTGGAGGTGGTGCTGTAGAGGTTTAGAGCGGTACAGTAGTTAGAACTGTACAGGAGTTCTAGTATTCTAGTAGTACAATCGCAAGAAGCCAGGAGCAGTAAAGCGCGTAAGAGTCCAGCAGTAGTACAGGCTGCAGTACACCAATACAGTCGTAGCATAGTAGTAGTACAACTAGTCGTACTGTGGTCGCACGGTAGTAGCAGGAGCAGTACACTAGTACTGCAGCAGTGGAACAGCGGTACAATAGTAATCCCGTAGTAGCACAGTACTAGTACTATAGTATACTACAGTTGCAGTACAGCTTGCAGTGCTAGGAGTCGTAGTAGTAGTAGTAGTAGTAGTAGTAGTAGTAGTAGTAGTAGTAGTAGTAGTAGCAGTAGCAGTAGCAGTAGTAGCAGTAGCAGTAGTAGTAGTAGTAGTAGTAGTAGTAGTAGTAGTATTAGTAGTAGTAGTAGTAGCAGTAGCAGTATCAGTAGCAGTAGTAGTAGTAGCAGTAGTAGTAGTAGTAGCAGTAGCAGTAGCAGTAGTTGTAGTAGTAGTAGTAGTAGTAGTAGTAGTAGTAGTAGTAGTAGTAGTAGTAGTAGTAGTAGTAGTAGTAGTAGTAGTAGTAGTAGTAGTAGTAGTAGTAGTAGTAGTAGTACTAGTACTAGTACTAGTACTAGTACTAGTACTAGTACTAGTACTAGTACTAGTACTAGTACTAGTACAGTACCAGTACAGCAGGATGGTTGAGGGTACCTAGAGCTATGCAGCGGGTTACGACCAAGCCTGACCATAGGCAGAAAAGAAAACATAACAACTCCATCTTACTGAATTCTGAGCATTATAGAGGGACGCCGCAAAGACTTGCCAAATCCTGGCATTACAGAGGGTCACCTAATAAGACTCAGTGCAAGGTGTGGATGGCCGTGATATAACTGGTGGTCGAGCGTCGGTTATTCTAGTTGTTTGTCGGAAGCCTTCGAAATCCGCAACATGAAACTGTCGACGGCCTCGAAGAGTTCAAACTTGCAGAGTTACTAAGACGGGTTTTAGAATTCCTGCTCGGGTCTGAACGGATGTGACTAATTCGTGTGAAGCTTGGAACGGACGCTGCAAGTGTCGGACGTTCCATCGCCTGTCGCGAAGCACCGACGGTTGCAGTGTTTTCGGAAGATTCGGAATCCTCCGACAAGAGCTTGTTGCGTCTCAAGAGAAAGGGGACTTTTTAAATCAGAAAAACAAGCATTTTCATAGACAGATCCAGTGGAAGTAGGATCCTTGCACCGAGGCCCACCACGAAGTAATCCAGTTCTTTATCCGTTTAGTTTTATTTCCTTGTTGTATGTTATATACGATGATGACTACTACTGTTGTTATTTGTAGTCGCAGTCGTCGTCGTAGTCTATCGTCGAAGTGTTCACTGTTGCATGCTGCTAACACTTTTAAGGAATTCTATTCCTGCGAGTCCTCTCCTTCAGGAACTGCCACCATGATCTCTCAGATGGGTGGTCGTCAAAATTAAGGTCCCTTTTTGGGTCCCTATTATAATACGGCACCCAATACTTATGGTACCAGATGGCAGTTCGTGGACACCTTGAACCAATGAACCCCTCGACCTCTGTAGCTTCGACACATCAAACCTCAATATCCTACTGTAATGGCCTTAGTAAATTCCTGTGCTATTTTGGGGGTTTCCTTACTATAATCATATAGTACGATATGCCCCAAAACCCTAGTCTAATTTTGAAGGCCCCTACAGTACCTACTAGAAGGGGCGAAATCATGGTCCAGCACTACCCGCTTTGCAGATAGCCGCCAAAAGCCTGTTCGAACTATACGCGCCGATATCTTAACTTTACGGATCTGGTCTTGGGGCTTGAGAACACAGAGCTGGACCCCTCGCGTGAGTCGCTTGTTCAGGTGTTGGGTTTAGTGTGGCTGGGGTTCATCATTCGGCCCTAAGCATAAATAAAGTGGGTCATCCACTAGGCCCTTATTCCCCTTTTGTTGGGCTCAGGTTCCCTTATAGCACCCTTTAAACCAAAAAGGGCACCCTTTGTTCCGGTGCTACTCTTAGGTCTAGATAAATAGAGTGGGTCATCCAAAACTAAACCCTAACCCCTAAACCCTAAACCTCTAAACCCCTAAACCCCTAAACCCAAAACCCTAAACCCTAAACCCTAACCATACATAGGGTGTGTCATCCACAAATTGGACTAGAATCTGGGATGCAACGGTTGATGATATAAATCCTGCATTACCCATAACAAGATATATATACCATTATTCCCATACTTTAGGGTTTTTCAGGTAATGCAGGATTTATATCATCAACATTCATCAACCGAAGCAGGCTCGAGGTGCCTGGCAGCCAAGCTTTAACTACTCGTTTCTGGAGTCTTCATAATCAGGAGTTGATGCAGAAGTGGGCCTCCTATGTTCGGATCCCACATGATCCCGCCATAGGAGACGGTTTCAGGTTTAGGGTAGGATTTACGACATCCGAAAAATCTCCGACAGCTGAACTTGTAGGTTTGAGCAGGAAGCCCCGAGGTGGGAGCGCCAGGCATACCCGAGGACTACCTAGGCTCTACGAGGTTTCAGAGTTTAGGGGCTTCAGGGGTTTAGGGTTCAGGTTCTAGGGGTTCAGAGTTTAGGGTTTAGGGTGGCCAGACGTCCATCCACTCTTGAGATGGATCTGTGGATGTTGGTTCCGCGATGTGATTGCGACCTGCATCCTACGAAGGTCCCTGCCTTGAACCTCAAGCCCCAAAGGCCCTTGAAGATCTGACATCCGAAGCCTCCAACCCTCGTTGCCCAGACCTTCCCCCAAACCAGAAAGCCCTATACCCCTGAACCCCTGCACAGAAGCAGCAGGTTTAAGAGCAATGCGCAGCGGCATGAAGCCGTAGTTGTGTTTTAAGAAAGAGCGGCTGGGTTAAGGGTTCGGGTTTTGGGCTGGGGTTATGAGTCTAAGGCCTTTCGCATTAGGATTGAGAGGTTGAGAGTAGCCCTGGACCTAAACAGTAGTTCCTTTCTTTGGTAACCTTAACTCTGGTATCCGAACGATATAGAATAGATTGTCCCACCAAGTGGCAATGCAATCGTAGGTCTGGGGCTTGGGGTCGAGGGTTCAGGGTTGTAGTCCAGGTATCCTTGTAGCGACCTTGATCTGTCATGGCTAACTATTCCTGAAAGCTGAAGGCCACGTTCCACGCAGTCCAAATCCTAGGCGAGAACAAAGCGGACCGTACTTAGTGCTTCAATGTACCATTATACAGAAGTCCTAAGTTGAGCTATTATCGTGCCTCAGTGGCGGTGAGAAGTGGAGACGCTGTCAGCTGCAGGATCCACAGGAATAGACGTCCGGTTTGAGGCGTAAGGTGTGGTTCGAAATTTTCGTCCTATTCCTAAGCGTACCTGATTATACGTCGCTGTTGTGTTTGCCATAGGTGCCGATACTATAATACAGGCGCCTTAATAACTAGAACAGGGCTTGGGGAGCCCATTATACCGTAATTATAATGGAGAGCCCCCCAACAAATATGGATTTGGGAGTTAATAATAGTAATAATAGTAATAATAGTAATCATAGTAATCATAGTAATAATAGTAATAATAGTAATAATAGTAATACTGCAGTTGGAAACTGTGCCAGGGCCATCTCTGACATACCCCCGAGACCCTGTTCTAATGAATAAGACCCCTATGACAGTCATAGGGATCCTTAGGGATGCAGGGGGAGGGGGGGTAGGGGGCCTTAAGGCCCATAATAAGGACTAATAAGGCCTATTTAAGGAAATATAGTCCCCTACACCCCTCCCCCCTACACCCCTAAGGATCCCTATGAGACAGGGTTGGGGTGCAGTCTTTGCTTTGCAGGTTGTAGGCTGCTCTTTGTTTAGGGAAGTCAGGCTGCCAGGTTTGTTGATTCCTGATGTTGAGATAGTATTTTTTTAGCGACTTAGCAGTACAATCCCTCCTCCTAGGCTTTCGCAAGCACCTACAAAGCCTTTAAACGCACTGTTCGGGGCTTCTGCACCCTGCTACTACCACTTTTCGAGCTTAGCGTTCAGGCTTAGGGTTTAGGGTTTAGGCGGCCTCTACTCTGATTCTAGGCATTAGTTAAGGGGGTATCCTTAACCCATGCTCTTCCGCTCACTGAAAGTCCACGGCCGAGCTGCCGGCACACTGGAAAGAGTCGGAAAGAAAGAGATCCGGATGCGAAGCCCCAAACCCTGCAGTTTATGATCCCTGAACCCTTACCCTAGGGCTCCAAATAGCCCAAAGTAGGTGTTATCTATAGACTTTAGGCCCCAAAGTAGGTACTATTTGTATACTTGGAGCCCCAGGGTTACAAAGGTTTAAGGGAGGGTCAACCGCCTTCCGAAAGCGATTCCAAGCTTCCGGGGGTTGGGATGTTTGGGCTAAGATCTGCGGGGGTGTAAGGTTTTAGAATTTCAAGCTTTGGCGTCTAAGGGTTCAGTGGCTGGGAACTCCGAAATTTAGGGTTTCTGTAGGTTTTAGGGTTCATCGATTTTAGGGCTCGCGCTTGACAAGCGTCCACACAACCCGAAAGTGAGCGCGTTTGACCCAAACTCTACTTCAAGGCTCATGGGACTTAGTAAGTAAGGTTATAAGTAGGGTTATAATTAGGATAACCCCACTTAGGGGACTTACAACCCCAATTATAACCTACTTACTAAGTTTCATGATCCTCTAAGTATTCCCATTGACCTTTAGCCTGCTCAGTGGGTTCCATAGAACCGAAATACTCCCTGAGGTGAACCTTTAATTTAGTTGCCCTGTAGCCCGAGCGAAGAGAATGAGCTTCTCGTTCCGAGGATACGACGAAGATCGACTTTGGCACAGTCTTGAACGACACATCGAAGAGGATGGAGGTACTGTTCGGTGATCCAGACTGGGGTTTAGGGTTGCGGGAGAGTCGGGGTTTGGGTTTTAGACTTGAGGTTTAAAGCCTGTTGAAGTAGCTATGCGGCATGCCTTAGCCCCTGCACGCTAAACCTGAGTCGCTTCGGGCAGAGCTGGCTGTGGTTCCTGCACGCCTGAACCTGAACCCAGGGTCGGAGCAACCTTTTCATCACTAACTTACTTATGCTAACCAGGATTTAGGGCGGGGTGTGGGGCTCAGGAGGTTTGAGAGTTTAGGACGGTGTGTGCGATGAGGTCCAGGCTGCAGAAATTTAGATGGACAGCGTCAGGGGCCGTAGGCAGGCCGGTTTCCGATTCTGCAAGGTTTAGGGTTTAGGGTTTAGGTGACCTCTTGAAGACGACAACTGGGCTCGTGCTCCCTTGCTGGGAAGGGCAGCTGTCCATGTGGGCAACTTTCCTCCTGCAAGCCCAAACCCCTGTGGCCCTTCTGACCCTTGGGATCCTAGAACCATGGCATGAGGTGCATTATTATGTATCAGGGCCCTAAGGCCCGCAAATCATGCCACATGAAGTCAACCCGAAGACTAGACTAGACTGAAAGATCACAGGTCCCAGAGAAAGCTTCGAGTCCCACATCCTAAACTTAAACCCCAAACGCAGCAGGGATTGCGAAAGCCTGAGATAGAGGCTTTTGGGTTTAGGGCCTCCAAACCGGGGTCTTGTTGAGGTTGTGCTTCCGCCACTATCTTCGCTGCATAGCTCATATATACTGCAACAACAGTGCAACTCGAAGCGACAGCCAAACGGGAAGCAAGACGTCCTTTTCTCAGAAGATCACCCCCCGATAATTGCGTCACCATACACCCTAGACTCTGCGCCGCAGGCATCTTAAACATAGTCCTTGTAGTCGCATGCGCTACAGTGTTGGGGGCTTTCCTCGGGTTTGAGTTTTTCTAACAGGGGGGGGCATAAACCTTACACCCCACGGCCTGCAAATCCGAGGTGCCTGCTTATGCACCCAATCGTGCCGCCATTGTCCCTTTACTGTTTGAGCCCTGCAAGCTCTACCAAGCGACTTAACCCGCCTTCATCAAGAAGCCTCCGCGGGTGTATTGAGATCCTCTGATGATTTCAGAATATTCCAAGAATAGTACGGAAATCGCAACAGGCTTTCAATAATTCCAAGAACACTACTGAAACCATAAGAGGTTTTCAAGGTAATTGAAGAACTTCAACTAGCATGTGTTGTGCTCTTTCGAGAAGCCCCGTACCTCCCAGACTCGATCTGCAGGTAAGGATGACGAACCCTACCGTCCTTTCTGTTCCGACCCCAACTTCTGATGAATGGGGCTTTGGGCATAGAGTTTAGGGTTGAGGGCTTAGGATTTAGGGTTTAAGGCTGACAATTGAAGGTTTAAGGTTGGGTGTTGGGCTTCATGGACGATGGTCAGGCCCTGTCGCAGTTCAAGTTCAAGGATGATGGCATGTTCGGAGGGAGCTGATGGGCATGGTTGAAGTAGCTTGAGGCTTGGATTCCTTCTTCTTGCTCTGGCAAGGCCCCGATCCCGAATCCCCATCCTTACTGTTAACGTGATCTACCCGCCGCCTTAGTTCCTGAACGCGACCTTGGAATTCTTCGAAACCTCGAGAACCTAAGCCTGTACCCCGACCTCAAGCCCTGAATCCAAATCCCAAGCTCTGCAATTGCCACTGAGTATCTGCACCTGGAAACCCGGCTTTGAGACGAGAATTCTTGACACCGCAGTCGTTCCGCTCCCCATGGAGTGAAGACCCTGTAGCCTGTAGCAGAGTCTGGTTCTGTGACGCTTAGGGCTTGGGGTTCAGTGCACTGTTCAAAGGTAGTATAGTATAGTGCAGTTTATCATGGAGGAATGTTGGTGTCCCGACACTCTGGCAAACATACATGATCTGTTCAGACCCACATCGAATCTTTAGAGGAGCTGTTCCTTGCCGGGACTAAATTCCTGACCCCCCAGCCCCCAAAAGCACGAAAACCCGATACGAAGTCCTCACACTGCTATAAATACTATAACTTGGGTACGGCCCCCACTCAGTAACAGTTGGATAGTATTCATAATATATAGATGTATAAGGCCCGTAATAGTAGCCCTTTTATAGACTGTCACTGTATGGGGGCCGTACCCAAACCATAACCCCCAAACCTTAAACTTGTGCCTCAGATCTCTGAAGTTTTTATGCCAAGTTCCCGCGCCCCAGCCCTTAAAGCCCAGAGGCTTCGTTCTGAAGTATCCCTGACAGGATCCCTTAAAGGACCGCTAAGGGAAACCTATGAAGCCTTCACGGTTCTCAACCCAAAGAGATTTTCACAGGGGTCGCTTACACAAGCAGGTTTTAGAAAGTCTTTGTAAGACTCGCTTTTAGCGGGTTCCCGAACAAACGGTCTCGAGGCCTACCTGGACCCTAAGGCACCTTCATTTTCAGGATTCTTCTTATGGTTTCCTGATTATGAGTCCTTAAAAACGCAGGTTATTGGGGGTTAAGGTAGAGGTTCCAAAAGGTTGAAGAGACAAACCCTAAACCCTAAACCCTGAACCGGGATTTTATCCGAGTCAAGGTAGCCTACCGATGGTGCTTTGCCTTGTCGAGGGAGAAGCAGGCCCAAGCGACTGGTTTTTTGAATAGCTTGGCTTGAAAAATCCGAAGAGGGTTCCTTGAAGGGGCTCCTCGGGTTGTGTGAAGGTGTCATTTGGTTTTTCAGTACGATAATCAAAGTTGGAGTACGGCTTTACGTACTATAATAATGTACCCAAGACCTTAAGAACATAACTATCAAGGAGCCGGGGGGATCGCATTAGGACTTTTTCAGGCCCAACAAACTAAACCCACTGCAGGGTGTGTTGTTTGTTTCGGTCTTACTTAGAGTGTAGAGGCAAGATAGTTAGAAGCTGGTGTAGGGGTAAGATAGAAGTCGGAACAATTCCCACTACAATTCCCAGAGCTCCTCAACCTACGTACAGTATACTTTTCTTCACAAACCTATCAAATTCTTAAAGACCCCTATAGAGACACATGGACGGACCACCAGATAGAAGACGGACAGACCGATAGATAGATGCATAGTTTTAGACGACACATATAAACCCTCTCTCCCCCCCCCCCACCCTTCTCTCTCTCTCTCTCTCTCTCTCTCTCTCTCTCGCTCTCTCGCTCTCTCTCTCTCTCTCTCTCTCTCTCTCTCTCTCTCTCTCTCTCTCTTCTTTTTTTCTACACGCACGCATTTATGCAGCATGGTAGAATATGTGTATAGATGTACATACCTGCATGTATACATATATGTATATGCATATATATATATATATATATGTATATATGTGGCAGGAACCTTTACGTATAATGTGTTGCTTTTCTTTTTGTTATTATTAAAAGTCCATACGTCACAGCCGATTATTATTATTATGACAACAACAACTACTACTACTGCTACTACTGCTACTACTAAGGTTGCGGCTCGTTTAATGGACGGGAACTGGGGGTATCACACAACAAGATCTAGATGATGCAGTAAATCCGATTATTGCTTATAATACCGGTCAAGATTTAGCAATAACTGATATTAACAATAATCTCGCAAACAACTTTCAAACAACGTCACAATTGAATTCAAATGTCTGTAATAAAACACAGGTAGACGATGTTATCGCGGTTGTAGATGGTAAAGCACTTACTAATTTTAATGCTATTAATGGTATAAACACAAATTTAACTGATAATTATCAAACCAATACACAACTAGCCACGAATTACTACAATAAAACTGAAATTGAAATAGACGCCAATAGCTGGATTGATAACACAGCATTAGCACCTTATGCTACGACGGCGACATTAACGGCAAACTATCAAACGAATTCACAACTAGCAAGCATTTATTACAATAAAGGCGAGGTAGATACATTAATAGCAGGAGCAGGTGGTGGTGTCAGCAATCCAATAGAACTAGTAGATGCTAACACAAGCATTGAACGATACACGAACGCTACAAAATCAAATATTTCGTTAGACTTGTCAATAAATGAAACGACAAGCGCTATAAGATTAGTTTATGGAACTAATGACGTTACTGATACCAATACTTATCTTGAGTGCAATGATTAGTAATACAACGACCGGAACAAAATCTTTTGAACAGGATTTTTTTTAGCGAAGCGATGATTATTAATAACTATACTGTTTTTTACCAGTTAGTGCTAATGGCATTTCATTACGGAGAATTTCTAATAACACGAACCCAACACTAAGAATTAGAGACGGAACGGCGCAGTGGATATATGTCAATAATAACTTAAGATGCACTAATGCGAATGAAGAGGACGGTAATATCATGATCTTAAATGATGATAGTGCTTCTAATAATTCTAACAGGATGAGATTAGGAAGCTTAACAAGTGCAGAAGTAGGAACAGGAAAAGCAATCGAAAGCGGTTATTTTTTAATCAGTGGGCGGAGCTACCAAAGTAGATAATTACTTTAGAAGTTGATAATAATATTACAATGGGCAAAGATACAATAACTTCAACAAATGGTAATGGCATTGAAGTATTTAAGGCTACGACAGACGCCAGTAGTGTTTTTCAAGTCAAGAACCCGCCTGGCTACATAATGATGCATTCATTAACAAATTAATGCTTATAATACTTCGAACGATAGCTCAAGCTTACTATTATTAAATACAGCTATTGATGGTGGAGTCTATCTACATAATTTAGGTATTGGTGTTCTTGCTGGTGCCAATAGACTATCAGTCGGTGGTGGCAATTCTAATTTTGGTGGAAATGTAAGTTTTCAAGCATCAAAAACCTTTAATAACGAGATTTTAGTTAATAGCAGAGGAAGAATATACCAACAAGGAAACGCCAATTTCTCATTAAACTTTATATCAACAAATGAACAAAATTTTTCAATACAAAGTATATAATAGGAACGCCGACTCACAATCGTCAGAAATGTTTTTACATTTGAATGATGTTGCAGGTATTACAGCAAACCTACCCCTTGTAATGAAAAGCTTGATGTAATAGGTAATTTATCAACAGAGAATGAATTTCGTGTAGATCTTGGTGCTACTGGTTCTCCCGAGTTTCGTGTCTTAGGTAGTTCAGTTGATTTCTACGAAAAGTTTAGTATTACACATCAAACAGCAGTAGGAGCAGTGGAACAAATATTTCCCCAAACAGGTACGGTTTGGGGTTCTCCCCTCAGAAAAAAAGGTGGGCCGTGGTGGGTTGGATGGCTGGGCCGCGGCAAACTGGCTGGGCTCCCATTGGGCTCCCTTCAGGTTTCCTTTCTGGGCTCCTGGGTTGGACGGGTGGGACGCGGCGAAGGACCTGGGCTCCCCTTCACTTCCCTTCATGTTTCCTTTCTGGGCTCCTGGGTTGGACGGGTGGGCCGCGGTGACGGACCTAGGCTCCCATTCACTTCCCTTCATGTTTCCTTTCTGGGCTCTGGGTTGGACGGGTGGGCCGCGGCAAAGGACCTGGGCTGTATTGGGCTCCCTTCATGTTTCCTTTCTGGGGTTCTGGGTTGGACGGGTGGGCCGCGGCAAGGGGATTGGGCTGCCAATTGGGTTTCCTTCCTGTCTCCTTTCTGGGCTAATGGGTTGGACGGGCGGGCCGCAGCAGAGGGCCTGAGCTCCCGCTGGGTTTCCTTAATGTTTCCTTTCTGGGCGCCTGGTCTGCCACAAACGTCTACAGCAGAGGCCAGGTATCCGGTATCCTGTCTTGCAATGCAGCAATGCTGTAACAGTTGTGTGTTTTTCCGTGCGTGGTTTCTGCTGCAGCAAGATCCTGTGGACGACGTTCTTCGTTCGGTTTGCGGAAAAATTGTCAGTGGTTCCGTGTAAGGAAAATATTTGTTTGCGATGTAAGCCGACTCCTTCGCTTTTCTTTTTGCCCTGTTTGTGCGGCAAAGTTGCCCGTCTTTCCCGTGCGACAGCCGACCGATCCGTATACTAATCTCGTGTGTGCTTCTTCCACGAACGTCTACAGCAGAGGCAAGGTATCCTGTCTTGCAAAACGGCAAGGTTGTGACACTTGCGGGAAACTTGCCGCAAGATCCTGTGGACGACGCTCTTCGTTCGGTCTGCGGAAAAATCGTCAATGGTTCCGTGCAAAAGAAGATTTTCGTTCGCCTTAGAAGCCGACAAACCTCTTCGCACTTCTTTTTGCCAAGTTTGCACGGCAAAGATCCGTCCGACAGGCGAGCGAAAGGTATACCAACCTGCTTCGTGCTTCTTCCGCAATCATCTACAGCAAAAGTCAGGTATTCTGTTTTGCAAAGCAGCAATGTTGTAACAGTTAGTTGGTCGAATACGACGTTCCCTGTCCATAGGTAACATGTCTGACTGTGTAGCTTAATGTGCCAATGACATGACCTTTGGCTCAAGTAATGAGAAAAGAGGTACGCTTGCAGCTTGTGTTCCTCTTCGGGCTGGGCTTCCCTTTTGGGTTTCCTTGCCTTGCCCGGCGATCCTACCCCAATATCGTTGTGCTGCTGTTGAGGGTCGGATTAACTCAGTTGCGGGAAAGTTGTGTGTGTGTGTGTGTGTGTGTGTGTGTGTGTTCTCCGTGCGTGGTTTCTGCGGAAGTAAGATCCTGTGGACGAATTCTTCGTTCGGTCTGTGGAAAAATTCGTCAGTGGTTCCGTGTAAAGAATTTATTTTGCCTGGTAAGCCGACACACCCCTGTGCGGTCTTCGTTTCGCCAAGTTTGTGCGGCAAAGTTCCCACTTTTCCCCGTGCGACAGCCAACCGATCCGTAAACCAACCTCGTTTGTGCTTCTTCCACAAACGCCTACAGCAGAGGCCAGGTATCCGGTATCCTGTCTTGCAAGGCAGCAATGTTGTAACAGTTGCGGGAAGGTTGTGTGTTCTTCCGTGCGTGGTTTCTGCGGCAGCAAGATCCTGTGGACGACGTTCTTCGTTTTGTCTGCGGAAAAAATCGCCAATGGTTCCGTGTAAAGGGGAACTTGTGTGTTTCTCTGTGCGTGGTTTCTGCGGCAGCAAGATCCTGTGGACGACGTTCTTCGTTTTGTCTGCGGAAAAAATCGTCAATGGTTCCGTGTAAAGGGGAACTTGTGTGTTTCTCTGTGCGTGGTTTCTGCGGCAGCAAGATCCTGTGGACGACGTTCTTCGTTTTGTCGGCGGAAACATCGTCAACGGTTTCGTGCAAAGAAAGGTTTTTGTTTGCGATGTAAGCCGACAAACCCCTTTGCGTTTCTTTTGCCAAGTTCGCGCGGCAAAGTTCCTACCTTTTCCTGTGTGGCAGCCAACCGATCTGTATACCAACTTGTTCTGCGCTTCTTCCACAGACGTCTACAGCAGAGGCCACATATCCTGTCTCACAAAACGGCAATGTTGCATGTTTTTTCCGTGCGTGGTTGCTGCGGCAGCAAGATCCTGTGGATCTTCGTTCGGTCTGCGGACAAAATCGTGAATGGTTCCGTGTAAAGAAAGATTTTTGTTTGCCTTGTAAGCCGACAAACCCATTTGCTCTTCTTTTCGCCATAATTGCGCGGCAAAGTTCACACCTTTTTTCCCGTGCGACAGCCAACCGATCCGTATACCGTATACCAACCTGTTTCTCTTCTTCCACAGACGTC